GAGCTGCTGGGGGACACGGGATGGACATGGGGACAAGGAGCCGTGGAAAGGAGCCAGGGACACAGGCTGGAGCCAAGGCTGCTGGGGACAAGGAGCTGCGGGATGACCTGTGGCTGTTGAGAATGAGGGGCTGGCTGCCCCCTGTCCCCGAGCTGTCTCCGTGCCCCCAGATGAACTTCATCGCGGCCGCCTTCCACGATGGGGTGCTGCTCTACGCCCAGGCCGTCAACGAGACGCTGGAGCAGGGCGGCTCCATCGCCAACACTTCCGCCATCACCCACCAGATGTGGAACCGAACCTTCTACGGTGAGCCCCGTCCCCTTCCTGCCCCCATCCGGTGCTGCCTGTCAGGCACCCGCCTGCTCCACTCCCAGGATGATATCTCAGGATCAGAGCCCCCACCCATGGGCTGGGATTCCCAGGGTTGCGCCCCCCAGCCCCTCACTCTCCATCCTCAGGTGTCACCGGCTTCCTGAAGATCGATGAGAACGGGGACCGGGAGAGCGACTACTCCCTGTGGGACATGGACCCTGTGCGGGGGGACTTTCAGGTGAGACCCAGCATGGGGGCAGCTGGTCTCACAGGGCAGCTGGGGGCCTCCTCCCACCCATTTCTTGCCCCCCACCCCTCAAGATCGTGGCCAACTACAATGGCACCACCAAGAAGATCCAGATGGTGCCGGGGCGTGAGATCCACTGGCCAGGGAATGTGGTCCCCTCCGACATCCCCCCCTGTCTGGCCAGGGAATGTAGTCCCCTCCGACATCCCCCCCTGTGGCTTTGATAACAGCGACCCACTGTGCCGCAAAGGTGAGTGGTGTCGGGGTGGGGAAAACACACATGAGCCCCCCACCCCAGGCACCCACCAGCCCCTCACCGCCCTCCTCTCGCTCTGCAGCCAACTTGTCCACCCTGGAAGTCCTGTCCCTCGTGGTCAGCCTGATCCTCTTGGCCATCACCATCACCTCCTTCTTCATCTACAGGTAGGGGTGCTGGGGTTGGGGGGTGACCCCTGGAGGTGTCAGCTCCGGGACGGCACATGGACATGTCCCACCCTGGCAGGAAGCTGCAGCTGGAGAAGGAGCTGGCGGCCGAGCTGTGGCGTATCCGCTGGGAAGACCTGCAGATGAGCAGCTTGGAGAAACACCTCCGGAGCGCCGGCAGCAAGCTCACCCTGTCCCTGGTGAGCACCCATCCTGTTCCCAAACCCTGCCCTGGGGGTGGGGAGCGGGGGGCCAGGCTCACCCCACGTCCCTCCCCACAGAGGGGCTCCAACTACGGCTCCCTGATGACGGCCGAGGGGCAGGTTCAGGTCTATGCCAAAACCGCGGATTA